CCAACTGTAAAAGTCGTGCGCCCTGGAAAGAAGGGCAAGCCGATCGTTGAGGACTACAACGGTCCTCGGACGGCCAAGGGCATCGTGGATGCTGTTGTCGAGAAGATTAACAACCATGTTAAACGTGTAACGGACAAGGACATTGACTCATTCCTATCAACCAAGAACGAGAGCGCCAAGGCTATTCTATTCACCGAGAAGGGCACCACAAGCGCTTTGCTGAAGAGCATTGCAATTGATTTCCTCGACGTTATCACCATTGCGCAAATCCGAGATAAGGAGGCCAAGGCGAACGAGCTCTTCGGTATTAAGTCCTATCCAACCTTGGTCCTACTACCAGGTGGTGACAAGGAGAGCGTAGTGTATGATGGAGAGATGAAGAAAGATGCCATGGTCAAATTTCTCTCACAAGCCGGCGAGCCAAACCCGGACCCGGCTCCTGCTAAAGGAAAGAGTGAAAAGAAGAGCGAGAAAAAGTCTGAGAAGAAGGACAAGAAGGCCTCTTCCAAGTCATCCGAATCCAGCTCTGAGACTACCTCAACGGAATCAGCTGAGTCTACTGAAGTTCCTCCAGCTGCCGAAAAGCCAGTCGAGGTTGTCCCGCCGATCCCAGCCATCACCGAGGCTGACAAGCTAACCAAGGAATGCCTTAACCGCAAAGCCCACACCTGTGTTCTCGCCTTTGTGCCTTCGGCTCACGGAGAAACCGCCGAGAAGGCCCTTACTAGCCTATCTGAGCTAGCATTCAAGCATGCCCAGGCACAGCGCCACATCTTCCCCTTCCTCGAGGTCCACACTGACAACGAGGTCACTACCTCGGTATTCAAGAGTCTGGAGCTCTCTGGTGATGTCGAAATTGTTGCTGTCAACGGCAAGAGAGGATGGTGGCGCCACTACGAGGGAGATTTCAGCCTCGAGAGTGTTGAGAGCTGGATCGACGCCATTCGCCTAAGCGAGGGCGAAAAGAAGAAGCTGCCAGAGGGTCTCATTGGCGAGGCTGTTGAGAAGACTACGGAAGAGAAGCCGACTGAGAGTGTCGAGGTCAAGGTTGAAGAGTCCGTAGAGGTTGAAGTTGAGCCTGAATCCGAAACTGAGACGAAGGGTGCGGAACCAACCCCTGAAGCAACTTCGGCGGAGAAACCAAAGCACGAAGAGCTCTAAATGGCTATCTAGGATTAGTATGATACCAGCTGGTAGTATGGATTGATGTAATAATGAATTAAGATTCCATTTCTGAAAGGGTTGACTTACTCATGAGTAAAAGTCTTGAACCGTAACGCCTGCCAAATGCTATGTCATTGCCAACCAGAACTCCATATCTTTTCCGTTCCCTCATTTGCTTTTGTCCAGAAATATTGCTTCCTCGACCAGAGCCTAAACATCAATATCCATAGCCATACTCACACCCTTCTCAATCGCGCCCTCCTCAACCATCCTTCTTCCTTTCTCCTTCACAACTGAGTCCAAATACTCCCGAATATTCTTACACCCATCCGCGGCTGTAACCATCATGCCCTCCAGCCGACTAACCTGGACCCTGCTTTCGCACACCAGGACCGCCACCTTGTCTGTCGACCCTAGAGTCCCTACCGTCAGGTACGGCAGCTCTTGTTCCTCCTGGTTATTCAGGTCCATGAGCGGGTCAGCCGAATCGTCAGCAGCTGCGTACGAGGACGTGCTGCCCGCGCTGCAGGCAACGAGGTAGTCGGTCATAGGCACACCCGCGTCAATGAGCGCGAGCGTTGCGGCGTTGATCAGACACGCAAGCAGCGAGCCGTCTTGCGAAAGGATGTGTAGCGAGAGAGAAATGGTGCTGCGAGGGAAGAGGTGCGTGTGCAGGACCGCGGCGAGCGATTTCGCGAGCGTAAACTGGAGTTCTACAATGCGCCTGCGATCGCGTTAGTATTAGACCTCGCTATCCATACCCATATTCACGATCCTATATCTCAAGTGAAGCAAACAACATACTTATCGCTCCGCGCCCTCTTCTTCCTATCAACAGTACTAAACCCGCCCACAACAACACTAACAAGGATATCCGCGGCATTCCCACCCGACGCGGAGCCCCCCGCCGCCGAAGCAGAAGAAGCGCCCTGCCCGCGCCTCTTGCTGTCCTCGCTGGGACCCGTGACCACGCACATGACCTTCGTGTTGCCTAGCTCGAAGTAAGCGGAGCCGTCGGCGGCGGCTTGGGTGCGGATCTGGGCGCGCAGTTGGCGCAGCTCGTTCCAGCGGCGCCCGTCGATGCGCAGGAGCGCGAGGTTGTAGGTTGATGTATCGAGGGGCATTTTTTCTTTCTTTATTTTCGCTCCTTCTCTTCCTTTTCTTTGCTTAGATAGAGTTCGGTGGCGCCTGGATGAAAGGTGTAGGTGCGGCTTCACACGATGGGATTGGCTTCCAACTATTATTGCAATCCTAGAATTGCATGAGAGTGGGTTAAGCTCGGTTTGTTTGTAGAGCCGTAGTTGATAAGAAATTGGAAGCAAAGCTCAAGTCGCTTGCATGCATGTGGATAGAAAATTTTGGTGGGGCTATTTTACAAGGTAGTACAGTTGATAGCGGCTACCCGTGGGCACCCCCAAAACGGTTATGCTTCAACGTCCAGTCCAAATGCTTCTTAGATGGTAGATCTATAATAGTTAATTGGCCCACCTGTTGATGAATGCTTGACTGTATGTGTAGTAGATGCGCGCTAACAGTGAGGATCACACAAAATGGGAGTTCTCGTACAGCGTGTTGCTCTATTAGAGACGCGATACGAATTACTACACATACAAGGCCTTGGTAGGAGAAGGGTTGCTTCGATAAAATCCCTTCCACTCTAGGCCGTTACATCATCAGAATGAGAGGTGAGTTACACCCTGTGCACCGTGACCATTACCTAACGAATAATAAAAGAACTACCAATCGGCCTCTTCGCCTCTCTCTGCTTTAGCAACTGCCTTATTCGAGGTCTAAAAGGTTGCAATCCATCAAAATACGTACGCCTCGCGTTACACAACCACCATAATACCCGGATTGCCGTGATTCATGAGAAGGGGAGCATTGAGATCCAATGCTGGCTCCGGTTCTACTTCCTCCGCATCGGTCCACCCTCTCTCCTTACCCCAGATAATCTTGATTCCTCGAGTCGTGACGACCTCGATGAGTCCGCGCATAAGTGCCCCTGATTTCTTAACGTTGGGCCATGCCTCGAACTCAATCCGGTCGACCCACGGCATTTCATCGAGGACACCAGTTAGTAGAGCTTTGGAGAATCGCTCATAAAAGTTGTCTGGCTGGCGGAAACCCCTGAAAAAGTCATTTCCAGGGTCGCATTCCACGTAGACGGTAATCTTGTTCACATTGACGCAGTCTGATAGACCCAATGCGGGATTCACAACCCAACCACGTGGTGGACTACTCCAGCCTGGACCGAGGCGTAGTTCGAGCGAGGTCAAGCTCGATCGTTGGTTTGGCTTCAAACGAGCCAGGAGCGGCTTCTTGGTCTTAAAGAAGCGCCCAGGAATCGTGGGGAAAATGCGAACCGGATGCGTGCTGTAGAAGAGGTAGGAAGCTTCTCTGTATATAGTGCGGCAAACACGAAGGATAGCTAGCTTCTGATGAATTCTCTTATAATTGTCGCGATCGAGGTCGAGCACATCTCCAGTGCCGGCGAAATGGTAATCGTAGACTTTCAAACGCAATTCGGATGGAAGATCGAGAAATCGAAAAGGCAGTTGCTTCTCTCGTTTTGGCTTTCGTAGATTCGACGCCGATCCGTCCAGCGTAAGGGCGCCGATTGGTAGTTTTGCCACTTCGTCGTTATTATCGTATTCGGTTTCAGAGGCATAGGTGGAAGGGTAAGCCGAGCTAAGTGGTGTAGTAAAGGCTGAAGAGATGGGAGTTGGGCCCGAAGAGGCACCAATAGCCCTTGAGCCCTTCGCCGTCACAGCTTTGCGACGCATTTTGAATAGGTCGGTATAATCGAGGTTGCAAGTTGATCCGCACACGACCGCAGAATACGAATGTGGCGACACTAGCAACGCGGATTTAGCGGCACGCGACAGTCAGCGTTCGCGTATAAAAGTCGAGTATAATAAGATCTAGGCCTTAGTCTCCTAGTTGCTGCTCGCAGAAATTCGTTCCGGGGTTAATATGGAACAATTGATTGAATCTCAGTACAACGTGGCATCGCCGAGGGTGGTGCCATCGTGATACTTCAACGAGTGACAACCACCCTCTAGAACGCAGCACTCTTCGCTGCCATGTTGGAGGTCAAAGTAGTAAGTCGGTCGTATGCAGTGTAATTCATGAGAGTAAGATGACAAATAGGCTAAGATTCGGCAACAAGAGATAAATAGGGAGAAGAATCAATCGCGCCGAAGAAAGGAGAGGGGAAGACGACCGGCAGAAGGCAACCGGAAGAAGAAACTGGTACCTTGGATCCTTGGTAGAGCAGGTAGAGGTGGCAGAGGTGGTAGAGGGAAGTTGGAGGAGAGGGTTGAGTCAATTCTATTTGATGATTCTTAGAATAGAAGGTTTAGGTAAGGAGTCGGGAGTTAAGCAGACATTCGCCATTCGCCGTGCGCCATTCACGAATGGCAACTGCTTATGTACATCGTAGTTGCATAATGTAGTGCAAAGATACGTGCAGATTGATGACATGATGGTTTGTCTAAGTGGGGCAAAGATGGTCCAGGTGATTCGGGCAAAGAAAGGAACGGACAGTCCGGGACTTTGGCCGGTTCGGTAGGCGGGGTTGCCATACCATCCATGATTACCTAACTTACCCACATACCTTAGGAAGCCCCACTATTCTCCAAAGTAGCGGGGTACCCAAGCCAAATTAGGATTAGACAGGTCCAAGCTCAACGAATCAGATCGACACCTAAAGACGCACAGAGCCGTAAAGGATACACCAATCACAAAGCGAGTCTTACCGTCTGGCGACAATGCGCACACACAGACTATAGTCTACAATAACTCGTCACCTCACCAATCACCAACTAAGGTGAACTGGCAGGATGGCCGAGTGGTTATGGCGGAGGGTTCAAGTCACTGACTTGTCTCGTGTCTAACACGGAGATTTCCTCTGGAGCAATCCGCAGGGGTTCGAATCCCCTTCCTGTCATATTTTATTTTATTTTTTTTAGTATTTGCTAGACTGTTTTGCTTATTGCGCGGTTTCTTATTTTGCCTCGCATCGGGTCTCATAAATTCATTCACATATAGGCACATGGTACTTGAACATTTCTGATGACGTGATGTGGGCTCGAGGTTTCTGCGTACCACGGGCAAAGTTAGCACCGAATCACGGAGCATTCGAGAAACCAATCCAGCCAATCGAAGTCCATGGCTGGCGCTCTAACTTTTCCCAAGGTTTCCAATCTATGGCTCTTACGTAGGGCCTGGCAAAACCTCGGCAGTAAAAATTTGGAGATTGAACAGACTCCTCTATCGTACCAGGATGATTTTGAATTGAACAGGGCCAAGCTTGAGGACGGTCTAAAATTTCCCAATTCTTCGTCATCCCGCGCAGTCTCGACGGACGAGCCTCTGGTCTGCATTCTACATTGTTGACTGGATTGGCGCTGAGACCCTGGTGCTATTGGTCATCTGTTGCTGGATCTCGTATCAAAGTCGACAATCTAGCATCATGCTGTCGAGAGCCCTCGCGCGCTCTGCGCGACTACCGGCGCTCTCACGATCAGCCATAGCAGCTCCAGCTTTTTCCAGAATATCCAACCCGGCCGCTCCAATATGGGTTCGAGGAATGGCTAAGAACCGACCTCATAACATACCGTCGAGCGCAGGAACAAGCCAGAAATCAACACCCAATCAACCTCCGTCTAGCTCAGCTCAGCCTGCTCAATCTCAAGCGCCCGCTCCCGAATCTGCTTCCGAGTCTTCTTCCCCGTCAGCGCAACCTTCACAAGGCGCTGAAGCCGAGTCTTCTACTAAACAACCTGACCTAAGCCAACTCCCTGATCTTACACAAGGCATTCCGTCGACTCTCGAGTATGAAACAAGCGGCGCCACAAACAAATCGGCGCTTGCCGCAGTTGAAGAGGAGCCGCACGAGACTCAATCCGGCGGTGGGCGCGGCAAGGGAGAGCTGCCCGCATCTGCATACATCAGTTCGACTGAGAAGCGAAGAAACAGGCTTGCCAATCGCATGTATGTCTTGGCGCTAGTCTCTGGTGTTGTCGGACTAGGTTATCTTGGCCGGGAGTGGGACGATGACGAAGCTAAGATGCATACCGATATTCCCAATGGCTGGTCGTTGTCGCTGTGGTGGAAGCGTATGATGGCTCGGTTTGGCGATGTTACAAGCTACTATAGTGAACCCGCTTTCGACAAGCTGCTACCCGATCCCGACCCCATGTTCGAACGACCGTACACCCTCTGTATCAGCCTCGAGGATATGCTGGTACACAGCGAATGGACGAGAGAACATGGCTGGAGAGTCGCGAAACGTCCGGGTGTAGACTACTTCCTGCGCTATCTCAGTCAGTACTACGAGTTGGTGCTATTTACGAGTGTTCCGTTCGCCATAGGAGAACCATTGGTTCGAAAGCTGGACCCCTTTCGATTCATTGTTTGGCCTTTGTTCAGGGAAGCTACCAAGTACAAGGATGGCGAGATTGTCAAGGTTAGTTCCGATCAATTTTTTCCTTTATCCCTCTAAGCCCTGTTCATGAGGAATTACTAAAACATGATACCATATAGGATCTATCCTACCTAAACCGTGATCTCTCCAAGGTCATCATAATCGATACCAAGCGCGAACATGTCCGAAACCAACCCGAAAATGCCATCGTTCTTAAGCCGTGGACTGGCGACCCGAAGGACACTGAGCTCGTTTCATTAATTCCTTTCCTCGAGTACATCCATACCATGCAGTATAAGGACGTACGAGAGGTACTCAAGTCCTTCGAGGGCAAACATATCCCAACTGAGTTTGCTCGCCGAGAAGCGATAGCGCGTGCTGAATTCCAGAAACGGTTCGAGTCCGAGAGGCGAAAGCGAAAGAGTGGTATGGGAGCTCTAGGCAACATGATAGGCCTGAAGCCGACCAACATGAGCATGATGGTCCCTGCTGAAGGCGAGATCAGCCCAAGCGAGGCCTTTGCGCAAGGCAAGATGTTGCAAGATATTGCACGAGAAAGGGGCCAGCGCAACTATGAAATGTTAGAGAAGGAGATCCGCGAGAACGGCGAGAAGTGGCTCAAGGAGGAGCAAATGGCAAACGAGAAGGCACAGGCCGAGGCTATGAGCAGCATGAAGTCGTCCTTCATGAACTGGTTTGTTCCTTCGAAACAGGGGGAGAATTCTTCTGCCGAGGCCAAGAAATAAGCCTGGCGGTTGGAAGACGTGTAATGTGGGCAGATGTATGATACGAAAAAAACGAACGCTGGGAGGGGAGGGCGTTGAATCATTCGCATGATGGTTGTACAAGATTACGACGATGACCATTGATTGCTAAGGTACTTACTGGTACTATACCCCGGGACGAACGAAACTCTACTCTGAAACGGCGGCATCAATTCTTGCATAGGACGGGCTAAATCAAGTTTGGGACGACATGCATCACGTGGCTGAGGCTAAATAAAAGAAATTCTTGCTCCTGTCATATCTGAGAAGAGTCCTTGAGGGAAAGGACTCTACTTGGAAGAAAGAAAGACAGGAAAGAGAAGAAAGGATATACGCCGGTAAATGTAATCTCTGTATTATAGTATAAGTGAGCGACGCGGGCCTTAAACCGGCCTCGATTGCGGTGTATAGAAATCCATCCACACAGAAGCTTCAACTAGCTTGAACCCCCTGAATGGAGATGACTTGACAAATCTGATATCCTCGTGAACATTCGGTGTGGTGTAGTGTTGTGATGTGGTTACCCAGTCCCCTCTCATGCCAAATCAGAAAAGGGGGTAACTCCGAATTCACACGTCCTCCTGTTCTCGACCAAAACATGTAGGTAACAAAATATATCGCCCCATCCCATCCTTCTCTAGGCGTCCATCTGGCTCTTTTACCCATTTCTTCCCATTCCTCGAAACGAGAGCCAATCTTTACGTCAACCTATATCTTTGACGCTGTTGTAGTTGTTGTTGTTGGCTGGGGCGTTGCTGCTGGCTCCGACGACGACGCCGGCTTTGACGTCGTTGACGACGGCGGGGGAGGCGGTGCGGACGTCGGGCTTTGCCAAGCGTTGTGGTCGCGGCACCACTCGCAGCTCGGGTCCGTCTGGCAATCGAAGTCACTGAAGGAATGTTAGTAAGTATCGATATAAAGCCCTCTCGGGTGTCGGGAAAAGACCAAAAGGGGAGAAGGGGGAAGCGTACCCGTCCAGGCACTTGCAGTACTCCTCGATCGCGGCGCAGTCCGGAGTGGTCGCAGGCTCATGCTCGACAACACGAGTCGCCGAGAGATACGTAACCCGTGAGGGCCGTGGTCGCGCTAGGGCGCCGCCGCACATGGTGAGCGCAAGGGCGATGAGGTATGAAGGCCGCATGGTGTATAAATAGAGGAGGTATAGATGTTAATATTGATAATTGAAGGATAGTTGTGTCTCTTGTTCTCAGGTATATAATTCTCAAGGCGAATTTGTCTCAGTAGTGGAAAGCGTTCGTATGATGTCTGTCTGTCTGGCTGGTTCTTGTGGATGCTCATATCGAATCTTCAGCTTACCGCCGGAATCGAGTCTTCTTATATATATTCTGGTTTGGTATCCAAACCGATTGCGGTGTAGAAGGTCCCGGTCATGTGTCAGAGACTTTGTACAGAGTGTGATATCATAGTCTCTTTTCTCGATGGACGAGATTAGTAAATGATGATAAATGTGCTATCGAGACCGAGAGACATTGTTTGTCCTTCCTGACGTCGCCATGAATCGTGGCGTTTCTCTCGTCAGATCGAATACTAATAGAACGAAGAGCCAATGCGAAGAGCGCACACGATGTAGGAATCAAACCAAACAAACTAGTGCCCTTCTCTCTCAAAATGCCGTTGATCACCTATTTTAGCAGTATGCTATGCAAATTCTCTGAACAAGTGAAACATGTACTCTCTTTTGCTATTCTGAATGTTTTCTTCCCCTTCCTGTCCCCCCTCTCCGCCTCACCGCATGAGAAATTCCAAGGAAGGTTGGGTACGCGGGCACAATGCGTGCTCACAAGTCGTACCGTCATGGCACGAAACGGCCATTGTGGATGAGCTCGAAATAGGCACGCCTTACATAAGGGTCGAGTCATCGTGGATCACACTACAAGAGCTCAAGCTATACAAGCTTCAAGTTTGGGGCTTGTGGTATACCCGACAGACCAGAAAGAAAGAAATCAAGATACGGCTCGGCCGAGTCTCTCTAGATACCTCGGATCACTGTCTCGGAACCATCGTGTGGTGAGTAAGGTGTAGGACCGCTGTAATGGGTGGTAACACAAGTGTAGGAGGGCTTTCAGCGCTTACCACACCCTAAGCATTAAATAAATCTCCCGGAGGCCATTGATCAACGCGAGGAGGTTCTAGCCTCCACAGGAATGATATTTCTAGAGTTTTAGCTGTGGCTTGAAGGATGCTGGTATGGTGAGATGTATAATCGGAGCAACCGTGTCTATGAGACAGATATCCAATATGGAAACTCCGGGCATGTATGCTATGAATTATGTGTATCCTGCCTACCTGATATGAACGAGTTGTATTTAAGCCGATGTATTTATATACTCGACGTAGCAATTCGATGTATGGTTGATACCTTATGGTTAGTCTTGGAACAATATAAATTATTAAATCAGATACAAGTTACTAGATAGCCTCCCTCGATATCAAACTAGCGAGGTACCTACCTACTTGCAGCAAGCGTATACTATTAAAAAGGATAGAAACAGCAGAAAGCTTCCGACTTTGTTATCCAGAGACTGATATAATAGGCTCCCTTACTGCCATTTTAGCAGCGCAAAACTCCATTACAGAAATGCCGACGAGCGCAAGCTTGCGTAAGTAACACAAAACGAATACGAGATACCTTGATCTTGATGAAGGATTAAGGAAGAGATGTCTCACCTGGACACATACTAAGCAGAGGAATAGGTAGGATGTAGTTAGCCGGTAATACAACGATGAGGCAAGCAC